CATATTAGTCAGAAGCCTGACTTCCTGTAATTTCTGAGTTGTTCTGCTTTATGGAACTTTCTTGACACTCATTTTCTAGAGCTTCCACTTTAGAGTTGTCTCCAGGACATGAGGGAAATCATCAAATCTTTGATTCCCCTAATAGAAAAGTGATTCTGATTTCTATTTTACCACAGGTGTGAGTGGGTGAGTGGGGTCAGCAGGTGGCTAATGCCATGTGTCTCTTCTCTTTAAAAGCCCATCAAAGATATTCTAAATTTGATAACCTCATCACATTGAGCACACACAATGACTTTTTAAAAAATTAAGCTTTTAGGAGCTGGGGAGATAGCTCAGTCAGTAAAGTGCCTGCCAAGTCCAATCCCTAGCACTCATGTAAAAAATCTGAGTGTAGTCAAGGGAGGTCCCATAGACATTCAAACAATACTGGCTATTGCCGTTGTACTTGGTTACCTGCCAGAACTTGATGGTAAAACCCTGTTACTGAAGATACTACATACCTGAGTCAGAACCAAGAAGAAGAAATCAAGCTGGTACTGACTGGGAGACTTCATCTCTACTGGGTATCTTTCACAGTACCAGAAAGTGCTATGTATGTTACTGATAGAGAAATGTAATCATCAACCTTACTCAGCTATGAACCCTGGGAGCTACAATAACAACTGGCTTGTCAAAATATGCCCACTGGTGCAATAGTGGGACAAATGTTATCAGAGTAGCTAACCACTTTCTGATTGAATTCAAGGCCCATTTCACAAGATGGAGTTCATACCTGACACTGTTAACAGGACTTAGAACTTATGGCTAAACAGGTGGCAGGCCATAGTGGAGAACCTACTACTATTATTCTGCTAAATAGACATAGTATTAAACTGACTCCTACTAATTTGTTGTTATATCCATAGATTTGTGCATCTCTCAGCTCTCACTAGAGAAGATTTTTCTTGTAGCCGATGGCGATTAACACAGAGATTCACATCTGGTCAATGTGCAGACAATAAAAGACTGTGGAGTACTCAGCCCTAAATGTGACACTTATACTATACCTTCTCCTCTCAAGGCTCAGGGATCATTTCAGAAGAGGAAGCAGAAAGATCCTAAGAGCTGGAAGAGGTAGATGAATATAAGGAAACTGTGTTGTTTGGATACCACAGGGTAGTTGCACCTATGAACCCATAGCACTGTGACACCATGCACAGTACCTGTGCAAGCCCAAGCCAGACAGGGACCCAGCATAGATTAGGGGAGGCGGGCAAGAAGCCCCAGCCCTAGCTGAGAATCTTTCGGCAATTGATAGCTACTGGGAGAGGGAAATCAGTTTTCTTTACTGGTATGTTGCCTGGTAGGTTGATCAGACTCCAGGGGATAGTCCCACACCCAAGAGTATCTTGGAAACAGTGATTAGACTTGATAAACCTTAAAAAAAAGAGACGATAATAATAGAGGACATGAAGTGGGAGGGGTTAATAAGGAGGGGATGGAAAGGGGGTTTGAATATAATCAAAATACATTGAATGAAATCCTTGAATTAATAAAAATGTAATCTGAGTTGGGCGTGGTAGCACATACCTTTAATCCCAGCACTCTGGAGGCAGAGGCAAGCAGATCTCTGTGAGGTCAAGGCCAGCCTGGTCTATATAGTGAGTTTCAGGACAGCTGGGGCTACAGGGAGACCCTGTCTCAAAAAGACCAAAAAAAAAAAAAAAAAAAGGAATCTGGGCATAGCAATGCACACCTATAATCCCAAAGCTGGGGAGGAGGAAGCAGATGTTTCCCTAGGGCTCCTGGGCCAGCCAACCTTGCCTAATCAGTAAGCCCCAGGACCCAGTGAGAGACACTGTCTCAAAAGACAAGGTGGATGTCCCTAAGGAACAACACATGAGGGTTGACGTCTGGTACCCACACACTTGTACACAGCCACTCATGTTCACACACAAACACACATGTACATGCACACATGCAAACAAGTCACACACACAGTTAACCTTTTAAATACCACAATTAGGTTGGTGAGACAGCTTAGCAGGTAAGAACGCTTGTCACCAAGCCTGATGACTTGCGTTTACACATGGTAAAAAGAGAGAACTGACTTCTGCAAGCTATCCTTCACACGTTCGCCAAGGCACAGGTGTTCCCATTCATGTACACACACAAAATAGTTAATTAATGTTAACAAAAATAGTTTAAGTACCACAATTTATGGGGGCCAAGTTTTCCAAAGTTAGGCATCCTTTCTGAAGAAATCAAAACAATGAAGATGACATTCTGAGGAGAAAATAAACCTCAGAGGTGCTTCCAGTTAAGAATCAAATCCAAGGCGGAGGACAAAGGAGCAGGTGGCTGCCATCGGTGTAATTCCTCCAAGATCACAGAGGACAGCCATGTGTATGTGCATGGAGTGGGACAGAGGCCCGATCCCAAAGGTTCAAAAAAAAGGCTAAGGGTGAGAGGTGTCCCTTCCAAACTCCTACTGTGGTGCCTTAGAATGAAGAGGCCTTGAAAGGAGAAAAGGAGAAAAGCAAAAGGAAGCCACAGGTGGGCCTTAATCCAGTACAACTGGCATCCTTACCCGAAGAAGAGATCAAGACACACAGGGTGGGGAGATGGCCATCAGCAATCAAGGAGGGAGGCCTTAGCAGAAACCAGTCTACTCTGTACCTGGATCTTGGCCTTCTAGCCAGAGGAACCATGAGAACCTAAGTTTCTGTTTATCTAAGTCATCAGGTGGTGAAACTTTGTCCCGGCAACCACAGCATAGGTAGGAACCAAGATGAGAGAAGGAACCACAAATCAAATTGCCTTGTGCTGGCAAGATGAATAAAATTATGACCATGTCTAGTTCACTGAAGAGAAACTTGGGACTGCCCAAGTGAAAGAAGAGCCCAGAAGCTTAGCGAGACATTGATCCATTATGAGTGAGTGCCAGTCAGTCAGAAGCCAATGGGAGAAGCCTCCAGAACTCTAGGAATGGACCATGTGTGTGGGGAGAAAAGGGCATTTCCAGGCCTGCAAGGACTTGCTCTTAACTTCATAGCTTCTCTTGCTTGGCAAGGTGTGTAGGCATAGGCTACAACAAAATGAGAAAGGCTTCTGAGGAAGACAACTCAGAGTCCAAGAAAGAAAAGCTCTCACTGGGAGCAGAGTGGAGAGGTCTGAGGACAATGTCTGAGAGGTTTCTAGCAAGGGTTTCTGTCAGGTTGTAGACCGCACTCAAAGAAACTGATTTTCAGAAGGTACAGTGGCCACGCTGGACACAGTCTGATTAAGAGGCTGGAGACTTAGAGATTGGGTAAAGGCTATTGTTTTTGTCAACAATAAGTCAACTGGACAGCAGAAAAACAAATAAAAGCTGTAAAGAAAGCCTTGGTCTACCAGGTACATCTGTCAGCTTGCCTGTGTCTCAGGATGGCCAACTCAAAATTGCAGACTTACTTAAAAACATTGTAATATTTTTATTGCTGTTTTTTTTTGGTCATTATAACTTATGTTGTTATCACATAGTTCTCAAGTATGAACTTTGTAGATGACAATGTTGTGTCTCAGCGTCAAAAGGTTGAACACACCTGGTTAAAAGCCAACAAGACAGGGCACCACTGAACCATCAAAACAGGATTTTCTAGTTCACTCAGATTTCAGTTGAGGGATGCATTTTCGAGGATGTAAAATTACATTCCTGGGACTGGGGATTTAGCAAAGTGGTAGAGTGCTTGTTTAGCACGCGCAAGGTTCTAGATTTGGCTCCCAGTACCAGAGGAGAAAAAAAGAAAAATCACAAATACAAAATGCAAACAAACCAACAACCCCAGCCCTAACAACAACAACAAGAAGAAAACCCAAGGGAAAAAAAGTTATGTTTCTTCTCTTTCATATTGAGCATATTATTATAATATTGTGAATAATACTTACAGGGTCCCATTGTAAGCCCTATTTCTGAATCTAAGCTTTAGGCTCACCCTCATTCACAGACAACACAAAATTACAAATATGATAAATATTAGCACTATGAAACAAAGTGGAGGTGAGATGAAAGGTAAAAGTTAATTTGATAACTATATTAGTAAGTTCACAGACATTATCATAATGTACTTATATGTCTCTATTATTTTGTGTTTTAGTGCTAACAGAAGTTAAAATCAGCAATTGTTAATGCTATGGCCCCTGGGGATTGAGGTGAATAGAAGAGTGCTCATTTTTTCCCCATTTATTTCTAACTTACAAAATTTATTTATATTAAACAGGATTTGGGGCATACAGTTCTATAAGTTTCTTCTTCTTCTTCTTCTTTCCTTCCTTCCTTCATTCCTTCCTTCCTTCTTCTTCTTCTTCTTCTTCTTCTTCTTCTTCTTCTTCTTCTTCTTCTTCTTCTTCTTCTTCTTCTTCTTCTTCTTCTTCTTCTTCTTCTTCTTCTTATTCTTATTATTATTTATTATTGTTAACAGGGATTGAACCTAAGGCCTATGCATGCTAGGAAAGCACTCTAGCATTAAGCTTCATCTCCAGCCCACTTTTTCCTATTTATTTTAAGCTGTCCAGGCTGGCCTAGAGCTCATTTGGTAGCCCAGGCAGGCTTTGAACCTCCTGCCTCTATCTTCCAAGTAACTGTGATACCAGTCTGTACCAGGCCTGGAAGTTCTGTGAATTTAAACACATTTAGACTCAAAAGTACTTCACACTCAGAACACATCACTCCAAACCTCCTGTCACCTTACAGTGACATCTTTCTCCACTCCTAATCCATGGTAACTACTACAAATCATGAATGGATGCTGGATTTTATCAAATGATTTTTCTACATCAATTGGTAAGATAATGCGAACTTTCTTCTCAAGTTTACTAAGATGATGATTATGATGAATGAAGTTTTTAAAGATATCGAACCAGCCTTGTATTCTTGGGACAAATTTTATACTTTCCTATCTTTGTTAGAACTGGACTTAATTATAACATGTTAAGTTCTATCAGAAGCTGAAATAAACCAAGTTTTAAAGAACTCTTCATACCTGATTCCATTTTCTCCTTTTTCTGGTTTCTGGTTGAGCCCATCCTTTACCTGAGAGGCAAAAAAGTAATATCAAAACATTTCTGGGTCAGTGAGATGACTCGACAGGTAAAGAGTACTTGTTATACAAGCTTAGTGACCTCAGTTCAGTTTCCAGAACCCATGAAAAAAAGGTAGAAGGAGAGAACTGACTCCATTAAGTTGTCTTCTGACCCCTTCATGTGGCATACATGCCCCTGGCCATCATGCATACACACATATGAAAGATAAAATGAAATAAATTTCTGGTATTAGCTCATTAGGATAAATTCACATTAATATTTCAGACTTTGAGAAGAGCGATATCTGCCCTGTCCCTGGAGCTAAGGGTTCCAGTTCCTCATTCCTGCTTTTCCTCCAGACTAACACAGCTTCTACTGTTATTTAGCCTTCATTTTCATTGGTCCTAAAGAATATAACTCTCCAGCAATTTAGATTGTTCAGTCTCCTGTCAGTGTGGCACAGAGTTGTCATCTACAAAGTTCATGATCCAGAACTGTACAGATAATTTACCAAAATAATTGCAAAAAAAATCTCATTATGTTTTAAGTAAGTTTATAATTTTGTGTTGGCACGTTCATTCCTGGGGTGCACAGGGCCACAGGTTGGACATGCCTGACAGAACGAGTCACACAACAGCTTCCTAATGAAGCAAATGGCCAAGAGAATGAATTGCATATTGAGCTTTACAGGTGCTTGCTAAGGTTTCCCTGACAGAATGCCTGAAGTGCCTTCATTTAGTTCAACTACATCTTTACTCTTCTTCGTGTACCAAATGGCATATCTAGATGTCACCAAATATTTTATGTGTATTTTATTGCTTATACCTGATATATATGTATATATGTGTATATATAATATATATTTAGACTGATATAATTAGGTACACATTTAAAAATTAATGCAATTAAAGATAGGTTTAAATCTGATCTCAAAAAGTCTTTGAGATTGCACATATATATTTGTGTGATTTATATATATATATATACATGAACATGTGTATGTACCCATATGTATGGGCACACATACATCATGACAGGGACAGTTATCTTATTTGTTTACTTTAAAGTTTTTATTTATTTATTTTTTGAGATAGATCTTACTATATAGCCCTAGCTAGCCTGGAACTTACTATGTAGATCAGGCTGGTCTGGAACTCATAAAGATCTATCTTTGCCCCCTCAGTGCTGAGATTAAAGGCATGTACCACCACATCCAGCCCAAAGACAGGGTCTTACTATTTGTTCAGGCTAGCCTTGAAAACATGATCCTCCTGCCTGTGCCTTCCAAGTGCTGGGAATAAAGGTATGTGCCACCGAAGGTGGCTCAAGCCCTCTTTAAAATTTTTCAGTAATAGTAACGCTTCCTCTCTACCAGCCAAACTTTTACTGGAGGTCAAATAACTTGTGTTCCCTAAGAAAGGAAAAAATGAGGATTACCTAATATAGTACTCTATATAAATGAAACAAAGTCACACCAATAAAAGGCTGTGTCTCCAATATTACAAAGAGTCAAGGGTCAGCTGCAGAGGTCAACAACTTACCAAACGGTAATGATTGGGGGCCCACACTAGAAGGGTGTGGCGATGGCCCTTCTCCAAGTTAGGCGTTACTGCAGTGTCTACAGATCCAGGAGAAGAAATGTTTATGCTTGTCAGCTTGTCTACATCAAAAGTCGTGAATTCATTTGTCTGCAGATGGGGGAATAGGAGGCATAGTTAGCACCACAGTTGCACTGAGCACTTGAACATTAATCTCTGTTATTTGGCATTCCAAGTTGCCAAGTTCATGTTCATACACATCCAAATTATCTTGTGAGGAATTAGCATTTATTTGCCTCAGCCTCCCACCCATCCTCATGGACTCTGCCATGAAATTCTTTATGTATCACCATGGGAATTCTACTTTTCCTCAAACATTTAATTTTGTTTTGCTCTAATGCTGCAAACATTATTTCTACTACTGTGTAAAGACACCACCAGGGGAAAAGTAACAGCTCTGGTGAAAATCAATACGGGGCTGTCCTAAGGACTAGGAGTCTGACTTTTAAAACCTTTGAGGTAGCTAGTTTGCCAAGGTCTAAGTTCATGGCTCCAATTATGGTTGAACAGGAATGAGAGCAGATAACCCAAAACCTCTGGGGTTAGGACCTCAAGGCTCTGCACATGATTGGAGATTTGAGGTTGGGAGCCACTGGTCCAGGATGATGACATCTACTGCAGAATTTTCTGGTCTTGGCATTGTGGACATTGGGTCAGATAAGTCTCTGCTGTGGAGGCCCAGTGCCAGTGCCTCCTGCTTCTACATGTGAAATGTCAGTAGCACAATCCCTAACTCGCAAAAACAAACAAATAGAATGTCTATGGAGACTTTTCAGTGTCTCTTTGGGATGCAATCAGACCGTGTTTAGAACCAAAGTCCCTCCCTGCTTTCAGAAGTGTGGCTTCCCATAGTAGCCACCTTGTCACCTGGGAACATGAGGAAATGTGACACTTCTGGTCTACAGATGGAATCTGAGTTCTCCAGGACTCCAAACTGATCAATGCTCACATTCAAATCTGAAGCCCACTGGTCTAGAGGAGCTATCATGACATGAACACTGACACGTTCTAGTCCTGAGCTGGCCTTGGGATTTATTGAAGGAGCAAGAGGAACAGCTCCTCTGAGCTGTGCTACAGTTCAGGTGAGAATGTGAAACAGGTGGTCTAATTCCTTCCACTTACCTGAGACATTTGGTCAAGTGTCACTGTCTCTCCAGGAAAATGTATAGTCATGCTACCGTTGCCTATATTCAAGACCTTAATTTGGACTTGATTTCCTGCAGGAAACACTGGAAGAGTTTTCTGAGAAAAAGAAAAGGAAATCAACATTGAGGGCTTCAATGGAAGGTCACTGTCACCTTAGTTTTGGAGTTGTTTTTCTCCTGCCATCCAAAGCTGCACTGGGAGACATGCCCAACACCTGACTAAGCCTACTGGTCACTTTGGACATGGCAATGGAATTATTTAGCCTTAAAAAGAAAGGAAATCTTGTTACATATAAAGAATGAATCTTAAGCAGGGTGTGGTGGTACATGCCTCTAATCCCAGCACTTGGAGGCAGAGGCAAGAGGATCTCTGTGAGATCAAGGCCAGCCTGGTCTCCTAGCAAGTTCCAGGCCATCTGGGACTGTAGGGAGACCCTGTCTCAGGAAACAAACACAAACAAACAACAAACAGAATGAACCTTGAGGACATTATACTAAGTAAGAGAAGCCAGTCACAAAAGGACAAATGCTTCATGAGTATGTTCATATGACATGCCTGGAGCAGTCAGATTTCCAGTCAGAAAGGGGGTGAGGAAGAGGAAGTAGGGAGTTAGCATTTCATAAGCGCAGAGGTTCAGTTTGGGAAGTTGGGAAAATTACAAAGGCACATGATGGTGATGGTTCTACAGTGACAAGAAAATACTGCCACTGAACTGTACACCTGAAAACGGTTATGGAAGAAACTTCGATTTTTATATTTACTGTAATTAACTCTGTGTGTGTGTGTGTGTGTGTGTGTGTGTGTGTGTGTGTGTGTGTGTGTGTGTTTGGGTATCATTCTTCAGGAGCTGTCCACCTTGTTTTTTGAGATAAGGTCTCTTATTGGGACCTGGGGCTTGATGATCAGATCAGGCTGGCTGGCTAGTGAACCTAGGGATCTACCTGTTTCTGCCTCCCCAGGGCTGGGGTTACAACTGTTTGTCACTGTGCCTCATTCATGCCTGGAGTTTTCGCACTTTACTGACTGAGTTATCTACCCAGCCTGTACTTAATGTTTTATAATTTTAAAGAAATTAAAAGAGAAAGATGGGGACAGAGGGGGGCAAAGAGAAAGAGATTATCATATCTAGTTTTATGGGACCACATAATCCCTGTTTCTAGAACTAATGTCAGATCTCAGGCTAACAACACTGGATTGATTCAGTGCATGTGCACCCAACAGGATTGGTTTATGTGCTGGATCGCTTTAGTGTCAACTTGACACACCTGGGTTGAGGGAGCCTCAATCGGGGAATTGCCTCTATTGGACTGGCCTGTGGCCATGTCTGAAGGGCATCTTCTTGCTGAGTGATGTGGGATGGCCCAGCCCACTGTGGGTGGTGCCACTCCTGGGCAGGTGGGCCTGTGTTGCATAAGAAAGCAGGCTGAGCAGGAGCCAAGGGAGCAAGCCTGTAAGCAGCGTTCCTCCATGGCCTGTTCTCCAGCTCCTGCCTCCAAGTTCCTGCCCTGAGTTCCTACCTTGGGCTCCCCAATGAACTGCGTGCGACCTGGGAGATGTAAGACAAATAAACCCTTTCCTCCCCAAGTTGGTACTGGTCAGAGTGTTTTGTCACAGCAGTGAAGAAACAAACTAAGACAGTTTAGGAACTAGAAATACTAGAATTCAAAATGTGCGTTTTTCCCATTAAGAGAGTTCATATATTTTTGAAGTGTTCCTTGTGAGTAATAAACTTTTCTTCACCAACTTTTCTGAGAGTTCAGAACAAATCCCATAGACTTATCTCCCATTATGAAAACTGTATAGTGGAGGAAGCTACTTATATTACTTTTCTTTGTAATGAAGTCCACCCATTTCCAGCTGTGCCCCACAGTGATGAGAACCCACAGAGCTTACTGATGGAATGGGACTATTTTGTCCCCTGTCTCCCACCATCCTGAACTCCAGGAATTTCTACTATATACAGGGAGAACCCTTGGTCTCCCCTAATACTACCAGTCCTAGAGAAAGAAGATTCTGGGCCCAAGGGAAAACTCACATCAATTTCCACCTGCACAATTGCAGCCACCACAAAGGCCATGGAGGCCAGGAACATCCCAACTGTCATCTTCTTCAGGGAGCTGATGAGAACAAGGAGAAAGTGAACCTCAGCCTGACTTACAGAGATGAGCCAAGTGTAAGCCCCCAAGGAAAGAGCCTCCCCATCCCCCATCCCACCAAACGACCAGCTCCCCCGCAAAGGCGCCTGTGCTGGAAGCAGCTCTTCTGCTGTCATTCATGTCTAGGACCAGCAAGGATACACAGAGTCCTTATTTGTATTTTCACATTTAGTCTCTAGAAATTCTATAATCACAATTAATATTTCTATCATCTACATACATAAGAGAGCCTTAATAGAAGCCTCTTCAGGTTTCCATTCTCAGCATTTTTATTTTAAAGGATATTTTAGAAGCACTGCATGCAAATATCTCGTGCGTGTTTGTGTGTGTGTGTGTGTGTGTGTGTGTGTGTGGTATGTGGCCTATGCACATGTGGGGTAGGGGAGGTACATATCCATGCACACACAGATGGAGGTCAAAGGAAGATGTCAGGTGTCTCTATCTCTCTCCATCCTGTTTCCATGAGACAGGGTCTCTCAGTGAACCAGGACCTTGTTTTTTGGCTAAGCTCTTTGGCTAACAGGCTCCAGGGATCTGCCTGTCTCTGTCCCCTAGTGATGGGGTTACAGATGTGCACAGCCATACCTGTTTTTTTTTTAAAACATGGGTACTGAGATTTGAACTCAGGTCCTCATGCTTACACATGCACTCTTACCCACTGAGTCATCTCTTTAACCCCCAAACATCTCTTAAATTAAAAAAATTCATATCAACCAGGCCTGGTAGCACAGACCTATAATCCCATCTCCTTGGGAGGCTTTTAAGTTCAAAGCCTAACTGGGCTACAGAGTGAGTTTAAGGCTAGCATGGGAACACAGTGAGACCTTAGCTCAAAATAAAAAGTAAAAAGAGGGCTGGGGTTACACCTCAGTGGAAGAGCGTTTGCTTAGCAAGTGGGAAACCCTAATTTCAATCCCCAGTATTGCAAAAATAAAATAAATAAATGAATAACTAAATACTCCATGATCTAGGTGGTAGTGTGAAAAGGACCAGAGACTCATGGAAACTTCTGGAAGCAGAGTAGATGCAGCTCCTTTGCAAAGACCTCCACCAATAGTACCTCAATCAACCCAAACCAACCAGCCACCTACGTAAAATTGAAACCACATTTGGCAATGAGAGGGTACACCACAGCATCCACAATGGGGACCATGATGACAATCAGGATGGCATTCACAGTCTGCAGAGGAAGTGGAGAGAGGTCATTAACTCTATCTCAAGGAAGACTTGGGGCTCTGAAACAACTTCAGTGTTGTGTCCTACCTGCATCTGATCCGGCTGAATTTCAATTGCTCCCTAAAAAAAGGAGGGCACAGTCTCACTGAAAAATGTCATGGAAGTAAAGGAGAAAGAAGAAAAAGGGACTAAAGCCAAGAAGCAGTGACCAAAGAATATAAAGACAGTCCAAACTCACAATTCTCCCACTCATGGTTGTAGCCTGCAGTGTCCATCTGGAGCCCTTAAAAACAAATATATTAACTTCATCAAGGGGGAATGTTATAATCCATTGTTGAACCTTTTCTAAATAAAGACTAGAATGTGTAGGACTTAAAATTGTCTTAAACATCCAGTTGGCCTCCCAACTCCATTATAATACTCAGTACACAGAAACCATTTCTGTTGTACAACATATGGAACTGCATCCCTTAGGAGGGTGCAAAAAGTACTGCTCTGAGATGGAGCTGTCCTCAGGAGAGACAGAAGTACAACGCTATGGCAATGTATGGCACTGCCTTGCAGGGGGACCTCAGTGGGGCATTGTGATTTACATTTACTGATGTTGGTATCTAGAATGTTAGGAGTGTGAAGAATCATCTTTTGATACTATCTCCATCAAGAGAGTGGTGGTCTTAAATCTGGGCAGCCTAATTGCAGCCTAGTCTACCTGTTTTATAGGATGTGATTGTGTCAATGGATGACTAAGCACTTCAAGTTTCAATATGAATTAATCAACTCCATGAGGAAGACATCATAGAAAGTAGATGGATCTGGCCCTGTTTGAGTTCTTAGTATTGCCAGCCATTGAGGACGTTGTATGCACTATCTAATTTGGGCCTCCCAGCACAGAAGTGGGTGATAATGACCTGTTTGAGTTCTTAGTATTGCCAGCCATTGAGGACGTTGTATGCACTATCTAGACTTGTTCAGAAGGGTTCTGAGTTCTTAGTCCAAGCCACCCAGCTACCTGTGATGAGGGTATTTCATGTGCCAGTTTGGATTCTAGTTAGGCTCTCAGACAACAGGCAAGACTTTCCCTGGCCTCATGAGGCTGCTCTACACCCCATGCTTACAAACAAAGAGAGTCACACGTGTTGCTCAAATGTTTTCCAAGGGATACTTTACCCTTGCAATAATCTTCCCTGTACAATGAAACATACTTGTTCACATTTTTAAAAAACTTCAGTTTCTAGAAGAAACAGTATCTCCTTGTTTTGGCTAGTGAGTATCATGCATTGGGTTGTCTGATGCTAATGTGCAGGACCCCAATGTGTGTCTTACAGCCAGTCCCATATGGGCAGCACTGATTAAACTTGGGGTTATTAATAGCAACAACAAAAAAGAGGACATGAAGTTGGGAAGGAGATTGGAATGTGATAAAAATACATTGTATAAATGTATGTAAATAAAAATATTAAAAAAAGAAAGGGGCTGGAGAGATGGCTCAGCCATTAAGCGCACTGACTGCTCTTTCAAAGGACTTGGGTTTGATTCCCAGTACCCACATGGCAGCTAACAACCATATGTAACTCCAGTTCCAGGGGATCTGACACCCTCTTCTGACCTCCACGGGCATGGCATGGCATGGTACAGGCAGTGCACTTTTACACATGCAGGCAATACACTCATATACATAAAGTAAAAATAATAAATAAAATCTTTAAAAGATAATAAAAATAAGAAATAAGAAAGAGCAAAGTCACAATTCTGGTCAGGGTCCTTCTCTGAAAGGGAAGACTTAGGTTCAGTCATTTCACAACCCTGGACGGTACTTCTAGCATAGAATTTTATATAAAGTGTAAGGTATCATCTTGAATATCCCTTGAATTGCATCAAAGGCAATACACCTTTGTACCCTGCTGGGTCAGTAGAACAAACTCTCTGCACTCAGTTCTGATGGGTAAGAGTCCTAGACACTCTGTTGAAATCTCCCCCAAGGTTATTTTACGCAACCAAACCTCATTTTCTTTATTATCTCCCAACAGAAATGTATACAGAAACTTCCAGAATATGTTTATACTAATAAACTCAATGTGATCTAACTATTAAGCAAAATACAAAAAAGAAACCAGAAGAGAATGTTTTAGGAGCTGAATACTACTCAGTGCAGCTCGGTGCATGGTAGTACTCAAAGTGTGTTTGCTGAAGGAAGATGGATGGAGACATTACCTGCTGATCAAACAGGGCCCAGAACATGGGGAGTGGAATATACAGGAACAACACCTTCGTGACCATCTTAATTTGAGAGATCAGCCGCTCCTGCGGGAGGACAAATCAGCCAGGGCTGGAGTCACAGTGGTCACTGCTGTTTCAAAGGATAGTTACATCTGGAGACAAGCTGGGAGGTAATTCATGGTTCTAAAGAACAGGATCTTGTGTTTCTTTAGGAAACCAGAACATTGTCAACATGTGAGATGTTGCGTGGAAACCACTGTGGAGGAGGCACATTACTCCAGTTTACTATGTGTGAATTTCTCTAAATGTGACCCCTCCCCCCAAATCCATCACCACCACCCAACTCTTCTGTATTCAAACCAAAGTTATTTGGTCATGATTGCATATAATTAATGTACCCCAAGTGACAAACTATGACAGTCATTATTATTCCTGGATAAATGGTATCCATTGTTTTAAAATCTTGTGGAAGCTCTTATCTGTAAGGCTTTTTTTGTTTTGTTTTTTTTGTCTTTTTGAGACAGGGTCTCCCTGTAGTCCCAGCTGTTCTGGAATTCAACATGTAGACCAGGCTGGCCTTGAACTCACAGAGATCTGCCTGCCTCTGCCTCCCAAGTGCTGGGACTACAGGCGTGCACCACCACGCCTGGCTCCAAGGTCTTATTTAAGGTGCTAATAAAGATTAGGAGGATACAACTCGTGATTTGTTCACATAGCTTAATAACCTAGATTGTGATTTTTGCACACCCACTTTTATGAGGAGCCAGAGCCATGGAGGCAGGAATGGCCACTTACATCATATTTCTCTTTAGCCCAGTCCAGCCAGTGCTCCCTCTTGGGAAATGTCTTACTCCGATGCCTAAACCTGTTTTTGATGGCAAACTGAAGGGAGAAAATTTGAATTTTAAAACAAAACCAACTACATTAGAGAAAATACATTGCAATGAAATCCTCTTTAATGAAAAAACCATGAGAGAAGAGAGAAATTTTAGCTTATACACCCGAGCATGATGCACTTCCCCAAAGGCTTAACCTGTGCATTATTTTTAGTCTCCTAATTCACACTTGAGTAGGGGTCCCATTGTCACCACTAACCCTCCAATCCCCCTAGAAGAACATGCTCAGTAGAAATACAACCCAGCACACTTGAATTTAAGCTTTTATTTCCCAACTAACAAGCAAAAGCAAAATATATAAAGTTCATTTTAAGTATGTATTATTTAGCCCAATAACCTTCCAAATAAAATGTTTTAAATATATAATCTATTAAATTTTTTTTTTACATAGGATTTCATGTAGCCCAAGCTGACCTTGAACTCAATGTAACTGAAGAGGACCTTAAACTCTTGGGAAGGTAGGACTTAGAGAAATAATTGGTAAGGATTTCTCAGTCTGGAGAAAACTTTTTGGCAGGAAAAGATCTAATGCTGGAGAAAATGGGAAAAGTTGTGCTGGAGGGACGTTTTTGTGACAAAGAGAAGGTACAAAGTGAGGCACACCACATACTTCAGTGCAGTAAGGCTTGGGAAGGAGTGCATGGCCTGATGTCACCTTAAGGCTGACTTTCTAGCCAAAAGATTAGTCACATACTTAAAAAGAATGAATAATGCATTTCTCCCAGTTATTTATATATATGCATACATTGCACATACCCACATAACATTATATATATATATATGTATATATATTCTCTAAAAAGAAATGGAGGGGCTTGTAAAATGCCTTAATGGGTAAAAGTGCTTGCTACATACAGCTGACTACCTGAGTTTGGTCCCTAGAATCCATGGTGGGAGGAGAGAACTACCTGGAAGGGGAGAACCAACTCTTGAAAGCTGTCCTCTGACCTTCACATGGGCACTGGGGCACCCCCCCCCCCGTATCACACATACACTAATAATGATAAAATAATTCTTTTAAAGAATTTCCTATATAAAGGAAATATTTGAAGCCATTGTCTAAAGATTCCTATTCTTAAATTTTATTTCCTGGCTACAAAATGTCCTTGTATGTATATATCTCACATAGATGCCTGTGGGAAAAAAATAAACCCCAAATTCTGCACATTCCAATACCAGATATCCTTTCAGCTATTTCTATTTTTTTTAATTTGTTTGTTTTCAAATTGAAGTTTGATTTAGAGGAGGTTGAAAGTTCTGAGGTAATTCAATGTCGAGAGAGAGAGAGAGCACTTACACCAATGCACTTGACCACTTTACCCATGATGTTGCCTTGTGGCTGGAACTTCTTATACATTCTGCTCCCAAGGACAAACACAACTAGATAGGGAAGAAGAGGATGTGTTAGTGCAGCATTTGCCAGAGCTACCTGAGGTCTGAGAAGTTCATTTTTGCTTGCATCATTACCTAGTCTGGAAATCCTATAGAACTGGTTGTTCACCTGTTTCTTAGGTGAGGATCTGCTTCTGATCCTAACCAAAGCCCTTGAGGAATGGGATATTTGTGCTGTAATAAACAAACACAGATGGCCTGATGCCACCTGCCAACTTCTCCAAAAGGGAGGCTCCTAGATACCCAGGACAACTATTTATACTTAAGTCCAGGCCATTTAAAGGGAAACAAAAGGCGCAGATGCTTTTGCATAGATTAGTATATTATTCTACTAAGACAATAAATATGGTGCTAATTTCCTGATTGCAATGGTAAGAGAGATTTTCTTCTTAAGATTCAGCAAAAAGGGATTAATCTGTTGAAACTTTTATTTAATCATAAGTGGCAAATTTTTTGTGGTCATTGTACAGCAGCATGGTTATAATTAATTGCCTCTGCAGATAGTTTTTTAAAAATTGAACTCATCGTTTTGAAGAGGCTACTCTTCTGCAAAACTTGTTAGCAAAATGCATCTTGTGAAAATGACCTAGAAAGTATTTTTGCAGGAGACCCTGAAAACTAAGTCCAAAGATTGGGATTTCCTATTGTCCAATACAACAACTTAAGAATTAAAAGGCACTGATGGATCACTTGCCTTCTACCTCTTTTCTTCAGATACCAAGACATGAGAATTTGACAGGTACCAGCTCCCAAGAGGCTCACCAAGTGCATGCCTGCATAATAGACAAACTTAGTGGACCCCTGATAGGAGGCAATGCTTTATTTGTATTCCTGCCTAATGACTGTGCAAAGATGAATGATAAGGGTTTCCAATGGACTGAGCCAACATTTCCTTTTATCAGCTTCTATTTTAATCTTTGAACTTTTTGACAAACTTGAGTCTAATTCAGGCACAGAAATTTCTAGAGGTGGTGTAGATACATTCAATTTGTCCTTTTCTCCATTCTTTAATACGAAGTATAACCTTTCACTTAAGAATGACTTATACAGGGGCTGGAGAGATGGCTCAACAGTTAAGAGCCCTGGGTGCTCTTGAAGAGGACCTGGGTTCAATTTCCAGCACCCATATGGTAGCTAACAATGGTCCATAACTCTAGTTCCAGGGGATTTGATGCCCTCTTCTGATCTCTACAGGCATTGCATGACACAGGTGCACTACACACATGCAGACAAAACACTCATTAAATAAAGACTATGCCGAACATCTGATGGCAGGGCTTCATAACACTTTGTTTCAACTCTGGACCTGGACTTTAAACAACTAATCATTATAATTAATACAGAGCCAGACCTGGTCATGGTCTTGTGTCAATTCAACTAATTTCTACTTACTTAGGGAAACAGCCATGAGAGCCGCTGGAACCCCAAAGGCCAGTGGGTAACAAGCTTGTTGACTGTGAATTCCACATTGTTGAACTGGGGAAAGATTATGATTAAAATACATCACAACGTTGCTAATGCACTTACAGTTCCCATTTCTAAAATTCTCTCACTGATCACATCATATTGTTTTTACTTAATGTTCTGGGTTCAGTCACTTGCCTTTATGATGCCATTACCAGCTCAGCAAAGCAGTGTGGTGCCAGGAAGAGCAAATGGGGGTGAGGAAGAGCAGATGGGGTTGGGTCTCACCTTAGATATACAACCCTGGGTACACCCAAATCAGAGAGCCTTTGTTTATTCTGTGGGCTTTATTCTCTTTAATTAAAACATTTTTGTGTATGTGTGCATCTTGAATGTGTGTAGTGTATGCAAGTGTGAGTGTGTGCATGCATGTGTATGTGTATGTGTGTGCATATTGTATGTGTATGTGCATTGTATGTGTGCATATGTATGTGTGTGCAAGTGTATGTGTGCATGTTGAATGTATGTAGTGTATGCATGTGGAGGCCCGAGATTCACATTGGGTGTCTTCTGCTACTGAACTCTACTTTACTGTCTTGACACAGGGTATCTCACTGAACCTGGAGCTCACCAATTAGCCAGACTGGCTGCTCAGCAAGATACAGGGATCCACCTGTCTCTGTTCCCCAGTGCTGGAGTTACAAATGTGTGTGGCTGCACCTGACTTCTACGTAGGTACTGGGGATCCAAATGTAGGTCTCCATGCTTTTGTGGCAGGTACTTTACCAAGTGAACCCTCTCCACAGCTTGTTCTATGGATTTTCTTTTTCAGTGTTTTTACATTATGTATGCATGTATGCATGTATGTATGTAGTTATTTTGTGTGTGTGTGCACACATGCATGCACATACCAAGGAACACATGTAGAGGTCAGAGGACAACTTGCAGGAGTCCATTATCTCCTTCCACTGTTTGGGTCCAGGGATCAAACTCAGGTCATCGGGCTTGGTAGTTTTGCCTGCTGAGGCATCTCACCAGGCCCTGTGTTTTATGAATAGTCTAAATAGTGGAGATGATATGACCTGGATGCAGTAACTCAAACATGTGGAACTCAGTAACATAAAGCAAATGTACTGAAATTCAATATTGTATGTTTCCAGTGTACATGCCAACCAGTAGTCATTAGAGGCAAAGGTTGATAATACTTTTTTTTTAGTAAAGGGCCAGATAGTAACTATTTTGGGCTTTAGGGTTCATTTTGTTTGGGTTATAACTCCTCAACTCTGCCTTTTTAGGAGAAAGCAGTCAAGTCTAAATGACAGTTAAACTCAGGTTCCTGAATTTGGCCCATAGTTTGCCATCCTCTGACTGAGAGGTATTTTAGCTCTGAGATCCTCAGACTGGTAAGGAAACAATTAAGGCTTTGTAAGGGGAACAGCGATTCCTAAAAATCCTTTCAGTAAGAGGAACATCCAGGACTGATCTGATCTCACAGGGATTTATTTTTTTAAAAGATTTATTTTTATTGTTTTAAATTATGTGTCTGTGTTGGGGTTTGTGCACATGTGCACAGTGCCCACGGAGGCCAGAGGAGGGCATCAGATTCCATGGAGCTGAAGGTACAGGCAATTGTGAGCATCTGATCTGAACCCAGGTCATCTGGAAGAGCAGCTAGCACTCTTAATCACTGAGCCATCTCTCCAGTTTCCACAGGGATTTTGACTTTGTCTTTAACTAGCTATTTCACAGTTCCACAGAGACGTTAACTAGCAGGAAAGTGATAGTTGGACAAATGTTTCTAGTTCACAACTGTACAAATGATTCCTGTTCACTGAAAGCAAAAAATTCTCTCCCCAAAGAATCAAAGTCTCTGTCAGTCAATCCTTATTTGAATGGATTATAACAGCTTTCCAGTTCCTCACTAATTAAGCCATTTAAAAATCTTTATCACATATTCAGTTTATATCTGTATGAAAGTCATGAATTTACTTTAAAAAGTTATCTTTTAACACATTCTATAATTTAAACATGCACAGCACATTCTCCCAATGAACTTGGAAGTGGGCAAGGTACAGGGACATAATTCAAGAATAAAAAAACAATTTGGGCCGGGCATGGTGGTGCATGTCTTTAGTTCCAGCAATCAGTAGGCAGAGGCAAGTGGATCTCTGTGAGATCGAGACCAGCCTGGTTTAACTAGTGAGTTGCAGGCCAGCTGGGGCTATAGGGAGACCCTATCTCAAAAAAATGCATAAATTCTTATAAAATATTTTACTTCATAATTTAATCTGAATCAACTATAGACATCATGGCTTTGTTAATTTGTTCCAAATAATGTCAAGTTTTTCTTTTCATAATGGGAACTTCAGAAGCTCAGTGGCATGTGATCAAACACAAAGATTTGAGTGATATTGATAGTTATTGATATGAGTTTCTGGTATTTCTCTGGTTTCAGGATATTTATTTTTATGTTCCTTCAGTTTTGTAAGACAGGGTCTCACTCTCTAGCTTTGGCTGGCCTTGAGCTCACAGTCTTCCTATTTCACTCTCCCAAGTGCTTGGATTACAGACGCATACCACCACACCTGACATCTCTTAGTATTTCTTTTGGAAATAGCTGAGATGATAGGAAAGCAACAGACAAACCTTGCTCACTACATTCTTCCCAACTCACTGAAATACCACTGGGAAGCAAAGCTTGAAGGCTGAAATGTCAACCATAGCCTAGGAGATATCATTCCCAGATGTGGACTCCTCTCTCTCATCATGAAAAAGGTCTTTATATTAATAACATATTAGTGTTGCCTATGCATCTGGAGAGATGGCTCAGCAGTTAAGTATACTGGTAACTCTTGCAGAGGACCTGGGTCTGGTTCCCAGCATCCACAAGGCAGCTGACAGAAATCGGTAATCCAGTTCCAGGGGATCTGACATTTTCTTCTGACCTCCACAGGGATTGCATGACATGGGTAACCTTAACATACATGCAGGCAAATCATTCATACATACAAAAAATTTAAAAATAAATAAAAAATTGATTCCTGTGATAAGGAGTCTCCAGTGGTCATTGGAATAAGGGAGTCAAGCAAGAAGAGGGTAAAGCTTGGAAGAAAAGCAGCTCAGAGTGAGGATTTGATGTACATGTACATCCCAGCATGTATAACAGATAAGCCATTAGAGGAGAGAAGAGGGATGAAACACAACCAATAAGACAAAGACTCAGCCTTTTCCCCTGGCTTTATTCCTCATAATTAAGAAGAGAAAACAGAAGCTCCCTCTAGATGGTTCTTACCTCTGAGTATGGGAGTGATGATCGTGGAAATCAAGCTTCCAGCATTAATAGCCAGATAAAAGATGGAAAAGAATCGATTTCTCTGCTTTTCCTGCCATGGAAAGGACAAAGTTAGAATGTGCTGATTTGGCTAGATATCATGGGACCAGGTGAGCTCAGGGCTGCTCACTCAGTTTCGGTCAGTGCCCTACTTTCAAGTGTCTCTGAAAAGAGTAGAATGGAGACTAGTTTCATAGGATTTGACTCCTAAAGGGCTGTCGTTCATTAATGGAGCCCCTTGGCGCATGTTCTTACCTGGCCCTCTTCAAACTGATCGCCACCAAATGCAGACACGCAGGGCTTGATTCCTCCTGTACCAAGGGCAATCAGGACCAGGCCAATCATGGACAGTGCCCTGGGGAAAGAAGTGGGTTAAGGTCAAGGTGGCAGGTCTTCAGAAGTAGCAGCCTCCCTCTAGTTTCCCTCTGAAGATCAGGTGCAGTTGTGACCATAGAGCCTCATCCTCAACGCGAAGACAATCCACAAGAACACAGGCTGAGAACTGAATGAAAACCTGAACACTGCAGACCTTTGAATCCCTGTCTTTGTCTAATAATTTATCATCTAGAAAATTGAAGATAGTGTGAAATCGGAAGAAGGATTTGTGTATGGACTTTTTGGGAGCCTTATCATTTCCAATAAAAGAATGAGTAGATGATATGTCAGTTAAAGGGAAGAGGTAAGCTCAGTAGTAGAGTGCATGCTTAGCATGCACAGGTCCTGGGTTCAGTCCCAAGAGCATGCAACGCACACACACACACACGTCAATTGAACAAAGGTAAGCCTTGTGTCAATCAGAATAGAGCCATAATAGTCATTAAATGACATTACAAACATGATTTAATTGCAGACAGACTATCTAGCTGGGCAGTATTATCTTCATTTGTTTACAAACTGGAAAGAAATAGAGCAAAAGGTTTATTGCTATGCCAGGTGGTGGGACTAAGGGCTATTTATCTTAATTTTACTTTTGTATTTTCCAAGTTATTGCGTTTTCACATTCTGAATAGAAAAAAAAAAGAATCATGGGATGGTGGAGAGCTAGAGCAAAGTATAAGGGCACACATGCATGGAAATGGCACAGTGAAACCTATTACTTTATATGATGGCCTAAAAAATTGATAAAAAAGAAAAATAGCGTTGGGGGTTTTAGTATATTAAGAGTTAGGCACTATAAATATCAAGCTTTATAAGAATTTATGCGATGTGTTCTTGGCTGTTGATGTTGCTTAAAATCCTTTAAAAATATGAATGAGATAAAGTCAAGCTAGATTCTGCACACACAGAATTATTTTCTTTTTTTTTTTTTTTTGTTTTTTTGAGACAGGGTCTCCCTGTAGTCACAGCTGACCTGGACCACGCTATGTAGACCAAGCTGTCCTCTATCTCACAGAGATCCACCTGCCTCTACCTCCCAAGTGCTGGAATTAAAGGTGTGTGCCACCACACCTGGCTACAGAGAGAATTCTTATTCTGCTTCCTGGTTCCATCTTCCTACACTAACTGACCAAGGCTCATCTTGAACTTCTTTGCTTCGTAATACACTGAACATTTATTTAGTCTTGTAAGAATTTCAGAGATTGTCTAGTACCAATACCAAGAAATGGAAAATAAGTTATAAGCTAAGGTTCTTATACACTTGTTGCTCTCTGAGCAGTTCTCCCTTACTTAACTGGCAGCAGTCTTAGCCATGGTAGGTACTATGACAAGGGAGGAAACTGAGGCACAGAGGGTAACTATCTGGTCAAGTTCACTCATCCAGTAAGGGGCACTGCCAACATTTGTGCCCAGCCTATCTCCAGGTCCAGTTCCCTGCCTCTCTCTTTCTGTATGTATATATCTGTGTGCCTGTATGTGTTATATGCATGTGTGTGCACATGTATGTAAGTATGTAAGGTATGTACCTGTGTGCATGAGTGTATGTGCACATGTATGTAAGTAAGGTGTGTGTGTGTGTGTGTGTGTGTGTGTGTGTGTGTAGTCCAAAGATTGATGATAGATGTCTTCCTCTACTGCTGTCCACTTGGCTATACTGGCTGGCCAGCAAGCCCCTGAAATCTGCCTTTCTCTGTTGCCCCAGCATTGGAGTTACAGACCCCTGTTGCTGTGTCTGCCTTTTACATGAGTACTGAGGATCTGAACTCAGGTTCCTAAGCTTAGGCAGCAAGTACTTTACCCACTGACCTATCTCTCTGACACCCCTCTCATGTTCTTAAGAAAGACAGCTTATTCAAGATCATCTTACTGTCCTGTGGGAGAGCTGAGCACAGACTTGGCAGTCTGAACAGCCTACTGTGTGCATAGCTGTTCCTCCTACCAACACCACTGTTTCAAGGGCTAGGTGTTAAAAACACTCCTCTGGACAGAAACCTGTTTAACTGGCAAGCCAGGGATGTAGCCATTATGGCTATTAACTTGAATTTCAGTCATATTTATCAACCCATGAGTTGGCTTAGTCCTGTGTCAAGAAGCTGAAGTACAAACACAGGAAAAAAGATCAGTCTTTAAGCTGGGGCATGGTGGTGCACACCTGTAATTCCAGCACTTGGGAGGCTGAGGCAGGAGGATCATGAATGAATTTGAGGCTATCTTGGATATATATTGAGTCCTAGGCTAACTTGGGCTAAATAGCAAGATCCTGTGTCAAAAAGGAAGGAAGGAAGGAAGGAAGGAAGGAAGGAAGGAAGGAAGGAAGGAAGGAGGGAGGGAGGGAGGGAGGGAAGGCGGAAGGGAGGGAGGAAGGGAAGAAAGTCAGTCTTTATTATTAGTCTGCCAGGCCAAATTTCAGGGGAGGAGAATCAATCCTGTGAGGAACACTTGTCCACACTACTTGCTGTCAAGAGCCCAGAACTGGTGGCTAGGATGATACCTATGTAATTAAACTACTGAAAAATAAGTGGATATGTATTATATAGGTCTAAAGGTCTTAGAATCTTGAGGAAACCTAATGGTATCAAAGGCCAAGGCCTCCGGGAGCTACAACCCTCTACGGAAGACAAGATGAGCACAAGTATCCTCCCATGACCATGCACCGAGTAGAATGTCACAATCCTAGACAGCAAGGTCAAAGTGAGCAGACTTCGGATGGCGACATCCTGCAATGTCAACACTCAGGTCCATTAAGCAGCCTTCTCTACAGTGCTAATCAGGGAGGGAAAGCCTCCCAACTCTCCTGAGGACATTCAGGGAAAAAAATGAATCATCAGAGCATCCAATAAGCAACCAATGAGAGGGTGGGGCTGCAGTGACCATGGACTCACACATGCACAGGAAGGCTGTCAGGGCTGCCGTCGTGGTTGTGGTCTGTGAGGTCATTAATTGAGCTCACTGAGATGACTGCTTGTCCAATGGTGTAGACAATGGATAATGATATAATTGTCCTGTGTTTAGAAAGGTTAAGAGAATCCTAGTTAATTGCACAATATCTGTCCAAGGTCCATATTTCTCATCCCTCCTACAAAATTTCCAAGAGCCCAGTCATGGATCTGCTTGTTTTTCAAACTTGGGTGAATCTGAGAGATCTCGGAAAGGGACAGCCTAGGAGTGTAGAGTGAAGTTTTGGCTAGAGACTAGAAGGGGGAAAACCCCTTTTGTCTGCCAGCTATGTACAAGACTCACTGCTTCCACTACCACCTCACCCCCATGCCACTATAGAAGTTAGTATTTATAGTTTTAAACAATAAAAGTTAATAATCTTTGGACTGGTAACAGTAGGTAGCCAAGAGTAGACCACTGATCACTTCTATAGACTTGGTTAGAGAGAGTGCCTGTTCTTGCTTCCTCTACTTCACTACTTTGACCTGGAAGAACATTCTCTTCCTTCTCTGTGAATTTCCAGAAAGTTCCTGATAATGTCTCCTGGGATGTGCTCTTGGAGCTCCATCTGCAGGGCAGGGTGAGTGCTCACAATGACTTCCTCACACCATGCATTGGTTCCATCCACCAAGCTGTATGAGCCCGCAACAGCCAGGACAGAGCATCAAGCTCAGCCCCAAACTCACCAAAGATAGTCAGGGTTCCTGCCACTATTTCAAAAAGTTTGGTTGAAGGGGGAAAAACACTAAAGCTTAAAAAAAAATCTTCTTGCATTCACAGTGCTGTGTTAAGCAAAACCAATGCTCTTAAGATTCATCTATTCTGGGGACTGGAGAGATGGCCTCAGTGGTTAAGAACACTGGTTGTTCTTGCAGAAGACCCAGGTTCAAATCCCAGCACCCACATGGCAGCTAACAACTGTCCATTACTCCAGTCCCGGGGAATCCAACAGCCTCTTCTGACCTCTGTGGGCATTGCACGACACAGGTGCACTTACCTACATGCAGGCAATACACACATACACAAAAAATTAAAAAAAAATAGAGTATCTATTCTTTGATTCTTCATTCCCCAATCTTACCATCCCAAACCACAAAGCTCATATTTACATCTTGGCTTGTCTGATATAAGAAAATCCCAATCACTTACTTGAACTTCCCCAGCCATGAGTCTGCGATCAGAGCTCCAAGAATTGGAGTCAGGTAGCACAGGGCAACAAACGTATGGTAGATGGCCGTGGACAGATCGTCATCCCAGCCAATGAAGTTCCTGAAGTACAGGACCAGGAGTGCTTTTCACAGAGACAGGTGGAGGAGAGAAACAGAGTTAGAACTGGCAGAGGCAACCCACCTCTCACAGAAGGATGAGATGACTGAAGCTTACCTCGCATTCCATAGTAGGAGAATCTTTCACAGAACTCATTGACCACGATGAAGAAGATGCTCAAGGGGTAACCAAAGCAATTCTGACAAAAAGAAAAGCAGTATCCAAATATGTTCCTCAATGGTCCACATTCACTAGCATCAATAGCTTGGAAAAGGGCCAATGAACACACGGTAATGTTTTGGTGCCATTCAGACCCAGAATCTTTAACCTTTCAACTTCAAAAACTATTTCATTTATTATTTTTATTTTATGTGTATGAGTATTGCCTGCATATGTGAAAGTGCACCAGTGTCGTGGCATGCCTGGGGAGGTCAGAAGAAGGCATAAGAGTCCCCTGGAACTGAAGTTAAGGACAGTTGTTGCCAAGTTGAGTGCAGAGAACTGAACCAGGGTCCTCTGCAAGAATAGTCAGTGCTCTTAACTGCTGAGCCTTCTCTCCAGCCCTGAATTTTTCAACTTTTAGTGCCTTACATTCATTATCCCATATAGAGACAGCAATGAAATGAATCAACTAGTATGAGCAGGAAATAAATAGCATCTCCTAAAAAGAGGAAATCTCATACAAACTCAGGATCATCTCATTGTGCCAGGTACACAATACACATTAATGTATAAAGCACATTTGTTTACTTTGAGGAACAAAAACGTTGTATCATTTATAAAATGAAGATACAGAAGAAGGAAAAATGATACTCACCCGTGACTTGGACATTCCTAAAAGAGACCAAAATGCCAGTATTAAGTCAAGTCACCACAGTAGTTTTGACTGACTGGACTCAGCCCCCTGAGTTTTCATGACAATTGGCTTCAGTACCCTCTAGGATCCCAGCACAGGGCTCTTTGCTTCTCTTCTGCAGTGGGGCCTGACCTCTGCATTTGCTTTTAATAAGTTCCTCAGGCAGTGCTCGTGACCAGTGGGAAATAGAAACTGGTATTCAGAGAATCATGGCCAAACTGTTTCCTTCCCTAAACACTTGAAAGACTGCCTCTGAATAAAACCCAAACATTCTAGCATGTTCTTCACCATCTCACAACTCACAAGGTCATCGAGGTTTTGTGACAGCTAACTAACTGAGGTATAAAATGTTTTTAGATCCGGAATACACAGTGAGGATTCAGCCACCTTTTCTTGTCCCCTAGCTCTGCCTTCTTCCCCACCCTTCCCCACACACAGAAGACTCCAAAGACATCCAAATGTTTGTTCACTAAACATGTGTACTCTTTCAAAGATCTTAACATGGGAGATCACAGCTCCCTTGCTGGGTGCCCCTCACCCCTTTTATCACACCCCTTCCTACTTATGATTTTGTCTTGCTGCCAATAGTCCCTTCACACAATATGGTATCATGATGGGTAATTCATATTCTTGCCTCCTTTCTAGACTGAGACTCTCTATGTATCATAACAACATCTTCACATCCCCATCTCTTTCACTGTACCTTCCATAAGCAGGGCTATTCTTAAAAGAATGAATTCAAAGAGCGGGAAGAAAACCTATGAGAAGCCTAATGAGTTGGTGCAGACCAGATGGATACACCTCCTTCCCACTCCCCAGTCCTCACTGACCTCATCTCAGAGTTGTTTGCTGCCAGGGCTCCTGGGGTATACCACGCTCCTTTCATTGGTCAGTGTTCCAGCAGTATAGGGTTGAAAACTTGGGTATGTCTCAGAATCTCCAGGGGCTTGTGAGAACAGACTGCTGGGCTGTACCCCAGATCTGCTGACTCTGTAGACACACGTGACTGTGTTTTCTAACAAGTTCCCAGTTCTTGCTGCTGCTGGTCCAGGCAGCATGCTTTGAAAACCACTGCACTGGAGAATTAGAAATAATCCTTAAATCCCTATCATGGCCCATGCGTTCTACCCTGCACCAGAGCTGCCTATTTGGAAAGAGCTCAGATGGAACTCACACTGGCCACTGTACCTTGCATTTAAGAAGACTGAGGATCTGCCTTTCTAACAAGTTCTAAGGAGAGGTGGATGCTGTGGTCCAGGGACTTCACTTTGAGAAGCATATGCAAGCTGTGATGTCCCGTTGCCTGATAGATCTCCATAATTCCCTGTCTCAACTTCTTATCCTGTTCCCTATTCAGGGCCCTTTCTCTCAGATTTGCTGCTTTGCATTTTCAGTCTGTGTAACTCTGTGCTCCATCCCACAACAAATGAAACCCCAGTTCTGTTTGAGGAACACCCTTTTTGGTCCAGACCATGTGGCATCCCAGACCTGTCCTGTGAGCATGCCTTCCTCTTCCTGTCACACTGAACTGGGGCTATTTCCACTTGCTCAGCTCAGCATGGCCCCAGGTCTCATACCAGATGGCCTTGCATTTTTGCCCACTTCAGAGCATTTTAGATGTTATTTTGGTCCTTGCTCAAAGGAGGGAAATAACACTGTTCTGATCTCCCAGGGCCCCAGGGCCCACCTCTTCCTGCTATTAAAGTTGGAGACAGAGACTCCTCAGCATAACCACACTGGGTTTATCCCCGGTTAGACTTCCCTGAGGTAAGGGGCTGCTTTGAGGTGCAGGGCATGAAGAGTGGGAGCCATGGAGTCAATCCTGGGATTGACTGAACCTCAGTTCTGTCAACTTCCAGTTGGGGCCCTGGGCAAGCCTGGGCTTTGGACAATCAAATGAAGATAATCCCCCTGCTTTGGTGGTTTTGTTTTGTTTTGTTTTTCTGAGACAGGGTCTCCCTGTAGCCACAGCTGGCCTGGAACTCACTATCTAGACCAGGCTGGCTTTGAACTCACAGAGACCTGCCTGCCTCTGTGTCCTGAATGCTGGGATTAAAGGCGTGAAACACCATACCTAGCAATCCCCCTGCTTTGTAAGGCTTCTATAAGGATTCATGTGGGGCTGGCGAGACAGCTCAGTAGGTAAAGATCCTTGTTGCCAAGCCTGATGTCCTGTGTTCTATCCATAGAACCCAAAAGTTGGAGGAAGAGAATGGACTTCTGCAAGTTGTCCTCTGACCTCTACATCAGTGCCAGGGCATGTGCCTGCATGCACATGCACACAGACACACATACAGTACACAAATATTAATAACAAATAAATGTTTTTTAAAAAGAATTCCTGTGAAGGCCCACACACACCTTTATGGCATCAGCACACGTGAACCATTACCATCCTAGAATGCTCAGCTCCTAGCATGGCGCTCTCCAGAGTAGAACTTAAATGTTTGCTGAATAAGTCTCCAGAGTCAAGCATCTCGGCCTTTGCGCACAAGGTTCAGATTCTGCCCTGATACTGGATAGATCCATTCACCCCTTGTGGTGGTTGATCTTAACTGTCAACGTGATTGGATCGACAATCACCATGGACACACATCTCTGGCTTTTCTTTGAGGATGTTTCCAGAAAAGTTTCATTGAAGAGGGAGGACCCTGAGTGTCAATGGCACTATCCCATGAGCTGGGGTCCTAGGCTGAATAAAAAAGAGAAAGCAAACTAAGTACCAGCATTCACCTCTCTCTACTTCCTGATTGTGGCTGCCATGTGACCAGCTCGCCTCGTGCTTCTGCTGCCATGACTTCCCTGCAAAGATGGACTGTTCTCTCAAATACTGAGCCCAAATAAACCCTTCTATAAGTTGCTTTTATAGGTATTTTGTCACAGCAATGAGAAAAGTAACTGACAAACTTTTCCAGGCCCAGTAGTCTCTGTTTGTTTGTCCCTTAAAGAGTCCCTAAGACTTGCCACAATTTCTACTGGGTTTAGCCAATGAGGAGCCATAGTGAGATCAGAGGGAGGAAAAGTCAGGTATCCATTTTTCTGGTGCTCTCCCTGTGAAATCACCCCAGCCTGGTTGTACCCTCACGTGGCAGCCATTGCTTCTCTGAAGTCATCCCTCTCCACTGTGCCATGACTCTTTCCTCCCAAGTTTTGGAATCTTCCTCTCCCTCATCCTTGAGGCCTGACAGTGCTCATAGGGATGTCTGCTCTACCATTTATGGTTCCTCGTCCCATTGTCTAGTCTTTGGGAAAATAACCTCATATTTCATGTATACATCATTATTCCTCACAGGACTGTGGTGATAGAGTATGCCAGCTGTACACTCTGCTTGCTGCCATCTTTTATCACCAGTCAGGAAAGAGTCTAGAATGGGTTTAACTACTTTCCCTACTTAGACTTCAGAGAACATGATCTCACCATTGCCTCCCTCCCAAAGGCAAAATAAGGAGTGACCCATACAAAGATGTTCCCATGACAGATTTTCCTTAGAACAGCAGGAGGGAGAGTTGCAAACCCAAAGTCCACAGAGCCAGCCCAGGTTTCACCACAGCAATTCCTTTCCCATGCTCTTCAGAGCTCTGGTTCAGAGAGAAGGACTACATCTCACTATGTATTTCTGCTAAATGTTATCCAGCATCCATTTACTTCTAATGTAAATATGATTACAGAGAAGGCACCAAGACATTCAAAGGGCAGACCTTAGTTTACCAACCTTCACACCTAGAACTGCATCATAGAAATTCTCAAATTTACTCAAGCTTAAACCAGAGACCTGGCATTCAATGGGAAGTATTTTGTGCTCTGAAAGGGTATTCATACCCAAGAACTTTATTATTGCTTTTATTATTGTGGGGTGGAGGCTGCTCAGCTCTTTTATAGAATCCAGAACTATCTGGTGGCCATATACCAAGGTCAGCATTTCTTATCTGAACATACCTGTGTCAACAGGATTGCTATCTTAGAAAGACAGTGGTCATAGGAGACTTGGGTCTGAATCATTTTCAACTGAGACAAGATTCTGTTCACTTTGGTACAACTGTGTTTGTATTTGGTATCCTGGTTAGTATGTTCAATCAGCAAATTTGAATGGTCTGATGTTTCTAGAACAGATCAGAGATTGTTCGGACATTTAAATATGATCAGGGCCACATCTAGAATCCAGATTCCCTATCTTGACAGCTCAGTCAGTATCAGTATGTATGATCACTGACTAAATCCTGGTTTCTTACTGACATTAAGCTTAACAAGGGTTTTGCCTTTCTTGTGCCTAAAGCATTTAATAGAAATATGTTTATATTACACATTTCTCTTATTACTGACTTTGGACTGTGGTGGGGAAACTGAGCAAACAGGAAAAAATGAGACTCCACTGAGCCCCACCACTCAATAACATTTCTCCCTTAATGCAGACACTTCCTGTCATTTTTCAAAGCACATTTGGAGCCATGTAGGAACAGAATCTCTAATGTTTTATTACCTAGAAATGAATATAGCCAGAACTGCTTAATGGGGCTACATTCTGAGAAATGCACTTCATCATGGATTGCAAAGATCATGATATTTTCATCATTATGCAAGCCTCATGCAGTGTACTTCACAAACCTGCATGATACAACCTACCACACACCCTTGACATACTATAATCTTACAGGCATACGCCCTCCATAGTCAAAACGTGGTCAATATAGCACACGGCTGGCTCCCTCAGTGACATTCAGGCCACAGAGTGTGCTTCCAGAAGTTGGATTTGGGACAGTAAAAGGAACAAGACATTTGGTTGAGGTCCAAGAAAGGAGCTCTTATCTTTAAGTGGAGGGAGACCCATTTCCTATCACTACCAAGGATATCTATGTCCTAATCTCTAAAGCAGATTTGTGGATATGTTTCCTTCCATGGAGAAAGGGACTTTGCTGATGTCACTAAGCACCCTGAGATATGGAATTTATTTTTAGTATTTCAGTGGGAAAATACAATCCCAAGTGTCCTATAGAAAGGAGATGTGATGATGGTAGCAGGGACACAACTGCAGTTCCTGGAAGGGACCATGAGCCAAGGAATGTAAACCATCTATGGAAACTGAAAAGGGCAAGGAAACAGATTCTTCCCTAGGGCTTCACAGTGCAGCCCTGGTAGCATGTTGATTTCAGACAGTAAAATCCATTTCAGACTCGTGACCTCCAAAACTCTAAGATGGTATTCCCCCTGGTCTCACCAGTAATGGAAACTGAACTCATGCCTTGCACATGATACACAAGAACTCTACTGCTTAGCTATATCCTCAGCCAAGTACGGCATCATTTGAAAACCACTGAATTTGTGATATTTTGTCCTATAACTAACATTAATAGGAAACAAACATACAAGAGCTTACCTCAAACTGTAAATGTTTAATCACTATTTACATTATTGTACTATTTCTATTATTTACACTGTTTACATCTAACTAAGACCAAACTTTATTTGGCCCCTTTTAACATTACTAAGCTATATTTTTCTCCCTGGGGGGTTTAGTCATGCATACACAGGCCCTGTCTTTTTCTTTGGATTTGATAGGATCCCAGTTGTTACTGTATCTAAGTCATCCACGTGTCATAAACTCCTGGTTAGCTTCAATTGTGCTTCATAGAGATGCTACATTTCACAGAAGCCACATGGAGATGCTACCTTCCACAGCTACCTTCTTCCCCATTCAAGGAGTCTGTTATTTCTCTGAGAAAATTGACAAATAGCTGTATAAACACAATGCATGCTGACTTATGCTTTGTGGAATACCCCTTTCATGAAGCTCTGGGTTGTCTGTCCTTCCTATACCATTCATTGCCAAAGGCAGCGAATAATCAATCCTTTAAGAAAAAGTTTCTGGGCTGGAGAGATGGCTCAGTGGTTAAGAGCACTGACTGCTCTTAAAAAGGACCCAGGTTCGATTC